TATAATTTTTTTATAATCTGCGCACATGTATTATATATTTAATTTTTGCCGATTATAATTATTAATTTACTTGGTGTGCAAAATTCACWTTTTTAATTATGCCCTCAATGAAGTACACTATAAATTAAAGCAGCGTTATTATTAGTTTTTAATACATATGTATATACATAAACACTAACATTTTTCAAATAAAATTTTGCTTATAATTCATTTACTCTAATTATTATTATATATTATTCAATACACCCTACACTATTAATTATATCACCTGTCTACCTTGTTTTATTGAAAAGTGGGCTGCAATTGATTAACAAATGTACGTGCATGCATATAAATACATATGTATGCACATACATATGGGTATTTGCGTATGCATACATACATATATAAGTAGGTTGGCTGTAATTTAGTTAGCAGCTTGGTTGACCTTGACTTTCATCTCGATACGCGTTCATTAAATTCGCGTGGCTTGCAAATGAAATGCGCTACAACACTATATAATGCAAAAAAATTTAACTAAAGCAGCTTATAAGCTTGTATAAAAGCATATAAGTACCTGTGTATACTATGTATATAGACTTGTATATAGACATACCAAAATTGTTTTTTTATTAGTTGCTTGGAATATTTGCATAATAATTAATAGCATACCGCGGTAGAAGTCGCAAATACGCCGAAAGCACATGCGCTTGCACACACATGTACGTGCATGAATGAAAACCGTCACTGCAGGCGCTGTCTATACTGCAGTGCCAGCACACAATACTTTTCACTTTTCAATAACACTTCTTGTAACTATTTTCACAACAAGATTTGATTTTCGATTTTCGTAAGCAACTCCACGCGTTGTTGTAGTTAACTGCTTGGCCGGCGCACTGCAATAGCGCCAGCCTGTCTCACTGATAGTCCGAAATGTCAGCGGCAGTGCATTATGTTTCTTTTTGTTGTTGCTATTTTTGTGCCGATTATACTTTTTTTCTTTCTCGCTTTTAATTCACTTAAGTAAGGCAGCAATTCTGTGATGTGCTTGTGCACAGTTAAATACACGCGAACACACACACGACTAATGCAAATATATGCGAGCACAGCTGCATAGGTACACCGACTGCACTGTTGCTTTGCCCTATGCGCCTTTTGATTTGTGTTTTTTCTTCGCTTTTGTTCTTGCTGTTCTCCCCGCACCAGCGTCTGCTGCTTGCACGGCGCGCGGTCACTGCTATTGTTTTCAGCGCGATTGAGTTGGCTTTCTTATTATTTCAAGAATTCTGTTTTATAGCTTTTGATAATTTACCGCCGCTGCCATTTGGTGCGCGAGTGGCATCACGCCGCAGCTGCTGTGCTAGTGACGTTTTAACTGTTTAATTTATTTTTAAGCAGAGTATGGTTTTTTTATTCACGCTATCACACTTTTTTTCAATCAGTGACACTGCATTTTGTTTTTTGTTTTTTTGCCTGCCTGATTAGCTTTGCGCTGCTGTGACCTACTCACTATGCAGCAATGTGTAATACATACGGCCCGACACTGCACCGCACTGACCGCCTCACTCAATGGAAATGACAGATTTGCCGTTCGAGCATTTTAATTTTTTTCAATAAATATTTTTTCCACCTTACAGCTGCACAGCGTTTTGCTTTTTTCTCGTTATGGTTCGTCCAACGGCACACGCACGCGTATCAACAACACTTTTCACCACCGTCCACTTGAATTATGTACGCGTATATGTTTTTTGATTTGCAAGCAATGTGTGTATTATTTAAAAAACACTAAATACTTTGCTTAAAATGTTAAATGGCTGAAAAAAATGTATATGTCTCATTGCTGTCGTCGCGGCGACATCGACATCGAGAACTCGAGACGTTGAAAATCACGAACCGCACGAAGTTATGAAAACCGATGAAGACGATGTCGTTGCTGGCGAGAAAAACTGCACAAAAATTCTACACAAACACATGCACACATAAACAGCAAAAGGTACCCGTGAGCAGCAAAAGCAGCAGCAGCGGCAGAGAGGTGAGTGTAACGATAAACAAGAAATCATGAAAATGAATATGCTGTGAGCAGAGCGCCAGCCTAAGCTGCGTTGAGCATGTGCTTAAAGAGAGCGCGAGCGTATGAGTACACGTTGTTTTGGAGCACTAATACGGCACTGCACTGTAGTCACACAGTTGCGGAGATGAAATAAATGAAATGAACCAAAAGCAAAAAAGAGCAACCGAACGAAGTGGTCTGACGATTTCAGTAACACAACAACAACGTCAACAAAAAA